AAACTGGAGGGAGGCAAAGTACTAGAAGAACACTGTGAGTGACGTTACTAGAATTCATTAACATTTCCCATTCCCTAGACACACAGGAACATGACATATCGCAGGCCATGCCCTGCAATTTCCTTGGCCATAGGAATGTTTATCAACTGCTGTGAATCACTTGTGAGTAGAAACAGCTAAGAGCTGGTGCTTAATTACCTACACTGCCTTCTGCTGCTGCAAACCCTGAGGCCCCACATTGAAATGGCAGAGTTAGGAGACAGCAGCCCTTGAATGACAAGGTGCAGGGTCCCCTGCAGTAATGGTTTATGGAACACAAGGAGAAACAAGCCACTGAGATTTTAGGCCACTTAGATTTGGTGGTTATGTGTTACTGTGGCATCAACTAGCCTACGTTCTACTCCTTTGACCCTAAGGTATCCACAGACACATTTCTACCCATATTTAAATGTCGATGCAACAATTATATGGCATGCTTCCACCTAGATGATGAAATTATTCTTCATACAAATGAATATCCCATCACTCACTCCCCCACTCCCCAGATGACCCTAACAGTCACTATTTCTATTTTTGGATGATGTTATTTTGTCTCCTAGTTTAGTTACAATGCCATCAAAATATTCTGCATCCTAAATACTACATTGTAAAGTCAACCACCAACATTCTAGCTAACATTAAAATATTAAAACATTCTAATATTTAGAAAGGTAAGAAAGAAAACAAATTATGTAGTATGGTACAAACATTATACAATAAGTGGTTATCTATCACTGCACAGGAAACCATACCAGGACTTGGTGGTTTTAAAGAACAACTATTTTATTACCTCTTGTGATTCTGTAGGTTGTCTGAGATCATGTAGGCAGTTCTTCCACTGGTCTCACCTGGGGCTTCTCATCTGGTTGCAGTCGGGTGACACGTGAGACTGGAGTCATCTCTTCAGATAATGGGGACATTATGACAACAGGGTCCCTCTCCCTCTTCATATAATCTTCCTACAGGGTCCTTCTGGTAAGGTAGTTAGACTTATTTCATGGTGGTTCAAGTCTCTCAAAAGTAAGTGTCCGAAGAGCGAGAAAGTGGAAGCGACCAGTCCTCTTAAAGACTAGGTCTAGCATTGGCAGAGCATACTTCTGCATTCAAGTGGTTAACACGAGTCACAGAGCAGCTCATACAGATGTAGGTGGGAACTACACATAAGCATTAATAGCAGGAGCTGTGGTTCATTAAGGGCCATCTTTAGAGCCTAGTCAACCAGAGGCCAGGAAGAAAATATCCAATATTACTATAGTCCTTATTTCCATAATTCTTGAGGCTAGAAGTGCAATGGGTGCCATCTTTAGAGGCTAGTCTACCAGAGGCCAGGAATAAAATATCCAGTATTACTGATTTCCATAATTCTTGAGGCTAGAAGTACAAGGGTATTTGCTTCCCAAGGTAGCACCTACCTCATTGGATCGTAACTGTTTCCTGTTCCATATCTCCAGAGATTGCAGGCACTGGGGCAATCCCTGACACACTCTGGGCAATTGGGGATTATTTACCAAATAAGGACATTTTATAAATATCTGCACCTATGTCATTGCAATGAGTACACAGTTCCTTAGCTACTCAAGGCAAAAAAAAAAAAAAAAACCCTCAATTTAATATTAAAGTGTCATTAAACTCATTTGTAATCAGTTTAATTTTAAAGCCAGAAGAATATGTAGTTTTAATTATCATCCTAGTAAGTAGGATACATACATTGGAATCAACGAGGTTTTAAGTTTTACAGCTGTTTTTTAATGTATGTTTTAAAGTCACTGAAAAAGACTTCCCAACCCATCTTCTAGGCAAGGAATAACACTCAAACTTTTTCCATTTAAAAAATACTCATGAAGTATGCCTGAGTGGCTGGGTCAGTTAAGCGCCTGACTCTTAGTTTCAGCTCAGGTCATGATCTTGTGGCTTCATGGGTTTGAGCCCCACCTAGGGCTCTGTGCTGACAGCGTGGCAACAGCTTGTGATTCTCTCTCTCTCTCTCTCTCTCTCTCTCTCTCTCTCTCCCTCTCTCTCTGCCCCTCCCCTACTCGTGCTGTCGCTGTCTCTTCCAAAATAAATAAACTTTTAAAAAATATATTTAAAAAAACTTAAATATTCATAAAATCACCATGTCAAAGAGAGATCTACACCCCATGTTCACTGCAGCATTATTTATAATAGCCAGACATGGAAACAACCTAAGTGTCCATCTACAGATGAGTGGATAAAGAAAATGTGGTACACGTGTGCTCACGGAAAAACTATTCAGCCATAAAAAAGAAAGAAATCTTGCATTCCTGACATGTATGGATCTCGAGGGCATTATGCTAAGTAAGACAGAGAAAGATAAACACAGTATGATCTCACTTATATGTGGAATCTAAAAAAACAAACTCATAGAAAAAGAGATCAGATTTGTGGTTGCCAGAGGCAGGGGGTGAGAGGTAAGGGAATCAAGCGAAGGTGGTCAAAAAGTACAAACTTCCAGTTTATGAGATAAGTAAGTACTGGGATATAATGCACAACAGGATGACTATAGTGAACAATGCTGTTTGGTATATTTGAAGTTGCTAAGAGAACAAATCCTAAAAGATTTCATCACAAGGGGAAAAATTCTTTTTTGAAACAATATGAGGTGATAGATGCTAATAAATAAAATTTCTGTGACAGCCATTTCATAATATATACACATATGAAGTCATTGTGTTGTACCCCTTAAACTTCTACAATTTTACACGTCAATTATATCAGTGAAACTGCGAGGGGTGGATTAAATACCCATATCTGCCAAGAAGTACGAGATCCCTCAAAACTTTATTTGGTTCATTATCAAATACCACTTTAATTAAAAGTCTTTATAACAGATTTAAAATAAAGGTTATAGAGTATAGCTTACATTATTATATACTTCCTGTATATTATCTCCTTGAAGGCGAAAGGTCTAACTTTAGCGGTTTGGAATTTTTGTCAACCCAGACACAGTATTCTATGCATACATTTTTTTCATTCCCAAATTTCATCTTCTCTGCTGGCGGGATTACTAGTGACTCAAAGAATACATTAAGGTAAATGAAGTGGTGACGGAGAGAACAGTATGTCAGGAGAGATAGAAAGGTGATCTGACTCCACAGGAAGTGGTGACACACCTAAGAAATCAGTTATTTTGAGCATCCCAAGGCAGGTGCTTACTTTTGGTTGGGGTCACATATACATGATCTGATGGCTGAGGAGCGCGGTCAAGTAGACCCAATTCTGACATCCTCAAGAACCTTTCAGATGGGGAAGCATTTCCAAAGAGAACACTTGTTTTACAAAGATCTGACAATGAATTTTTTTTCTTGCCTATAAATTTTATTTGGAGATAACAAAGTTAAAAATAAGTAATGCTATTTTCCTACTCTTTACACCCGTTTGACAGAAAATAAAATTTCAAACCCACTAGAACCTGGAGACTCTCACCACATATCCTGGGTCCCGTTGTGGCCCTAACTTCCCTGGTCTCACAACCATCCGCATACATACGAGCCCATGGCTTATGATGCAGCTTCAGCAGATATCCCTGATTAAACCTATTGTGTTCAATTATTACCACCCAGGAAGAATCAAGCCATGAGGAAATGGAACAAAGGTCAAGCACAAGAGAAAGGTGGGATACAGAAATTACTGGAAGGCTGGGCACATGAAATAGGCTAAGTTGACAGGGAATTCAATGGAAGGAATTTAAAAGGAAATCCTGAAAACCCTAAAGCAGCAAAAAGGCAAAAAAAGATTAGGATGGACTTCCATGAGAAGTTATTTGGGGGGGGGGGGGGGATGAAATGTATAAAGGGGAAAGATGAGGGCAAACTTCACCTAATTCACAATTCTGTCTCCAGCAGTATTTACTCTTGCAAGCTTAGTGGAATTGGGGGAGAGGTGCAGAAACTATGAAGTTGACCAAGAATATAAAATCCCGACCTTGCCGACTCCAATGCACCTTTCTTTCTCGCATGTCACTTAACACTCACCTAGAAAGCACAGCACAAAATGAATATCCACTGGTCAGCTGATTAAAAAGCTGTTTTAAGAGTCAGAGAACAACTCCCTTCTCAGAGGTGATCTCTCTACCTCCGCATCCTTCTGTGTTCCTACAGGCTCAGTTCTAGCCTCTCTCAAAATGTAAGCTTCCCACATCCCGGTCCTTCGGGGGTGGGGGGGGGCGGTGTCTCAGTCATCACAGAAACTCAGGGCTCTGTAGGTGCGGAACCGTGTTCACATTAGCTTCTGGGGGGAAAGGGGATGGAGGTGGGAGGGCAGGGGTTGCGCGTAACTGAGGTCATCAAGGTGGGGCTAGGTCCTTGGGAACTGGGTAGTAAGCCGCAGCCAGACCTGCCCGTTTGCCATGTCCGCACCCACCCGAGGAAAGAAGAGCCAAGTGTCCCACAGGGCACAACTCCGGAGCACGCGTGCAGAGTCCAGCGAAGCCACCTTCAAAGCGGCCGCAGCCCCCCATTCCAGCAATAGGAGGCGGAGGGGAAGATGGCAGGATGCTCTCGCCTCACCAGGGTGTCCTGCCCTCCATCCTGGCGCTGAGCCCGTCCTCCGCCCAGTCCACACTGGGAATGCGAGGGCCGGAGAAAAACCCTAGAACAAGCAGACCAAGTAGAACTCGATCTTCCACCAGAGGACGCCTGGGGGCGGGGCGAGATGTGGGGGCGGGGCCGAGGGCCTGGAGCCACGGAAGAGCCCCTTTCACCTCTAGACTGGGCGTCTTGTCCTCTCTCTACACTTCCAGTCCCGTTTCGGATTACTACCAGTCGCAAGGCTCCTAGGCTGGCTTCCTGAGAAAACTCTAATAGCCTCCTGCCCCTTCGCAAGAATGCATTACCTAGTGCCACGGTCACGGTTGCCGTCATAGGCACCCTCAACCCCACCCCTGGCCTGCCCGCGGTCCCTCTCTCTCCCCACCCGCACCTGCCCGTAACCAGCAAGCTCCCTGGGCCCGCAGGTGTGGACAACGGCGGGATTCCACGCCCCGCAGAGGCCCACCAGCTCTGGGGAGGGCAAGGGAGACGTGATCCAGGGCCGCCCCCAGGCTGATGTCCCAGGTGCGTCCGAACCCCTGAGTCACCGCTAGGCAGGACGCTAATGGCCTGGGAGGCCCGCGGTGCCAAGCCGGGGCGCCTCCTTGGCTTCCCCGTCCAAGTCCGAGGGAGGGAGCGGGATTCTAACCCTTTGGGGTCCTGCTGCACCACTGCTTCTGCACCTCTCTGCAAAGCTCTTCTCTCATTCCGGATCCCTGAAACCCTTAGAAGCACAGCTGCTGATTCTGCTGTGTGATTCTGCCTGCTTTTAAGAAATATTATGGGGATGGGGTGGGGGGTCAGCTGAGTTTTCTTGAATAGTTATGGTAAACTTTGAGGCAAAAATTTAATCTCAGTCGATGTCCATGGAGGAGTGGCCTTGTATGGATATGGAGCTGTCGTTCAGTAGTGTTTAGATTGTCCTTAAGAACGTCTTCCACTTCCACTTTCAATTTCCCTTGAAATTCACTTCCATAGAATTTAAGTTACTATTTATTACTGATGTGATATATGAAGGTCCACAGATGGTTTCTTGGTGAGAAAGGAAACCCCTGATTTCTATGCAATGTTGAGTTGAACAATTTAGCAGTATAAAGTATGTTTCCTGCCTGCCCTGAGGGAGGGTCAGTGTGATAGTGACCAAGTCAGTTGACTATTGGAACCAACTGTGCCCTTCTTTTCTTTCCAGTCTGTGCCTTTCAAGAAACATGGAGGTAATTCATGGCAGGCCCTACTGTTGCAGAGAGCTTGAAGGAGCTGACCTATTGTCAAACACCTTTTACTCTAATGAATTGCACACTCCATTACAAACAGCTACTCGCCCAACTGCCTCCGAGGACAGGTAAAACGTAATTACAAAACGTTACAAAACGTAAATAATTACAAAGGGCTTTAATATATTAGTTTATTTTTATATGTGAGAAAAAAAACACTCAGATAGAGGGCTCTTCTGTTTATCACAACTTAGGGATGGCATAACATGACAATTAACTAAACTGTAGTGTCCACATCTGTTAGAAACTTGATCAAAAGTAAGTTGGTGTGTATCTTTACAAGGCAGACATCAATTTCATTCACAACATTCTAAAATTCCAGAATGATCACTTCCTTCATTTGAAAATTAATCTGTTTTGATCAAAATTTTTATTTTATCAGGAGTAGTATAAGTGGTTCCCTATCAACCCCTGACACCATCTGTTCAAAAACACTCCCAGAATCCGTTGTTCAAGGTTGCCATTTAAATCTTTGCTTCACCAAATTTCCTGTAACACACTAATTACAAATTATTATTTAAATTGCACCTAACGTATGTTGATTGATTGCTGTTTATGGACACTGTACCAAATGCTTTGTATATAGCGATTCTTTTAATCCTCACAACAACCCTATGAGATAAGTACTATTATTTTCACCATTTTACATATGAAGCAACAGGTGCAAACAAGTAATTTTCTAAGATTTCAGTGCCAGCTCTCTGTATTGTATTTATTTGAATCATTTTGAGGAAAAAGAAAAAATCTCAAAACACTTTGATGGTTTAAAAACAAAACAAAAAAACAACAAAAAAAAAACGCCTGTATGGTTATTTTGTTCAGTTTGGTTTGGTTTCATTTATAATTTCACTTGATCAAATCTCTCGTTTAAGAATTCCTTCTTTAAGAAATCATTCAGAAAGCCACCCAGCCTCATTTTACACTTCCAAAATGGGACATCACTACCACACAGGCAGTCCATCCCAATTTTGAATGCTATTGGTTATCAGATAATTTATTTCTACTGAGGACATTTTTCCTCCTCATAATTTCTACCTGCTGACCCTGGTTCTTCTCTCCATGCAAAATAAGAATAATCTACCTATCATCTCCATGACAGCAGCCCTTCAAGAGTTCGAAGATCTTTTTGGCTCTGTAAGAGTTCTCTTTGCCAGGCTAAATACTGCTGCTCTGCAAACTTAACTCTTCCCTCTTGAATCTGGGCTTTCACCATCTTGATCAGACTTCCATGGATCTAATCCAGTTTGTAAACATGCTCTTTATATGAAAAAAGAAGCTTTTCTTTTCCTAATTATAAAACTAACACATTCCTCATAAATAGTTTAGAAATCCTGGAAATCCACAAAGAAAACAAGTTTTCCATTTTTCTAACAACAGGAAAAGCTGTGAAATTAAAACAAAAGGAAGAAAACCTCTGTACTTCCTTTATCCAGAATAACCACCGTTAACACCATGATATGTGTCTTCTCCATTTTTTTAACTTAAAGATCATATTTAACATATTTTGTAAACTGACATTTTCATTAAATGAAAAGGAATATTTTCGTATTTGTGGGAAAGAGGACTCAGCTCACTTCTACTAAGTCAGTCCTTGCTACACATGTTCTTCTGTTCCCTGATTCCCCAAAATGGCTGTCGGTCCTAAATTCCTACTCAGCTCCAAGAGTCATCAGAATCGGACGGGCTTCCCTTGAGTCAGAGGAAACTCTTAGCAGATTGTTCATGATCTGGGGATAGACAACTGTCCCTGGCTCAAAAACAGCAACATAAAATTTTATATTTGGTCAAAAGGAATCTGAGTAGGAATTTAAGGCTGTCCTATCTGACTGAATTCACTAACAGCATGTATATAAGGCTTCTCACTGAAATTTTTATCTCTTCTACCTAAATGGTCCTATGGTTGGTTAGTAATTGGCCCCAAAACCTTTTCAGTAGCATGAAATTTAAGAAAAGCATCTTTGAGGGGTGCCTGGATGGCTCAACTAGTTAAGCATCCGACTCTTAGTTTTTGCTCAGGTCCTAATGTCAGTGAGTCTGAGTTCTGAATTGCGATGACAGTGAAGAGTCTGCTTGGTATTCTCTTTCTCTCTTTCTCTGCCCCTCCCCTGCTCTCTCTCTCTTTCTCTCTCTCTCAAAATAAATAAACTTAAAAAAAAAAAGAGAAGCATCTCTGAGAAAATATTGCTTTTTATTAACTGCCTATAAAATTAAATACAATATATGTTCAGTTACCTGCAAACTACAATAAGGTACTCCTTGAAGCAGTAGGTAGGTACAACCATGTTCCTGACTCCTAATAACTAAAATTTGCTTTCCCTTTTATTCCATATGAATTCTTTCCTATCATAGTCCCCAAATGGGAAAGCCAGGATGATCATGCATTCTCAGAACCCCCTTTTTTAACCCCCTCTTAAAAAGCAGCTGGGCAGCATACAGAAGTTCCCTTTTTCTTCTGAACTGCTCTGAAAAGTGTCATCATGGTAACATTGGAACCTCTACTCTGTCAATGCTGAGGCTTACTTCTTCAGAGGAAGTTCAGGGTCTATGGCTCCCAACTCAAACCTCAAGGTATCTCAAAGCAAAACACAACAAAAGTTCCTGGCCTTTAGGGTTTACCCTTCATAATGATAAGGATGAACATGAGTCCTAGCATATGTTAGCTCTCAGCAGTTTAGTTTTCTAAACTTGGATGTACTTAAAGGGATGCCTTTTTAAAATATCATAGTGTATTCTGAACTCCGCAATTTTAACAGCAACACAAAATGACTTCCTCATGTCAGTGTACTTTTTCTTTTCAGAATAGGCAGCCTAGCTCCAGTGTTATCCAGCACTGGTATGCAGACAGAACACATCAGAACTACCTGAGCAGCTTTGTAAAAATAGAGAGTCCTGGGCTCTGATGTGAGTCTAGGAAATCTGCATTTTTAGAAGTTTTTCAGCTTACTTGGAGAACCAGTGGGCTAGCAGAAAGCACTGAAAACAGTAAGAAAACCAGGACTATGGTTGTAACTTCCCCACTGACCAAAAGCGAGTTACTCTTCATACTTTGGTTACTTTCTTCACTGGTGTATTTTAGAACAAGCATAGTAGTCACTAATATATATACTCTGACTTGATCTCTTTTAAAAATATTAATAAACAGATGGTATTCTTCTGTATTTCTTCCACTGAAAATTTAAGAATGGCTGATACTGCTATTTAGAATCATGACAGAGGTCTATCTCCTTTTTCCATTCAGTTGGCATCTCCTTATCTCTAGCAAGTTCTCTAGCTCATTAAGCAAACAAACATCAATTAGAGAAGTGCCTTGAGAATTGCTTAAGATTTCATCATTGGTTCTCATTTTGTTTCTGAATTCATTCCACTGCTTTTAGATTCTTTAACTTTTTTGTTATTGTTACTACTAGTTCTCTGCCAACTAAAAATGAGAAAATGTTTGTTCTGAGCTTCCTTTAATCATTCCTTCCAATAATTACTGGCTAAATTCAGCTCCCCCAAGTAGAATGTAATACTCAAAACTCCACAGTGACTCCAAAGCAAGATGCTGGTTCATCCTTAGGAAACACATCTTTCTCAAAAACAAGTAAACATTTAATTTTATGTGGTCACAGATTGCAGTACTAATCATTTATTATTATTTTCTTTGTTATGGAGACATGTATTATTTAAGCTTTCACATTACTTAATCCTAAAACTTCAATATTTATGTTCCTAGTTCCTTCTATACAATGCTGTCAATATTAAAGCTAAGGGGGGAAGTGTGAGACCCCAAAATAAAGGAGAAACGGACTTATTTTTGCATTTGCCTTCTATTTTAAATGGATTCCTACAACTTACTGGCTTTAGATGGATACCAACCCAAATGATTGATTAACATTTTCTACTGGCTCATCTTCCTAGGACAATGTAATATATGGAGGTCAGATATTGAGAAATTGACTCATCTAATTTAAATATAACTTTTAAAACTTAGATATTAAAGCTTAGGTTGTCATTAATCAAATGTATTTAAATATTTTTCACTTGTCATGTCCTCCAAACCATGTCTACTGATCATAGCCATAAAGCTGGTGAAAGCCTCAGAGGTCTGAGAGCTGAATATCGCCATCCCTTCGACAGCACCCTAAATCAATGGTCACCTAGATTCTCCTTGACTAGCAAGCGCAGAGATGGGCAAACGTATTCTGTAAAGGGCCAGACAGGAAATACAGGTGGCCTTTGAACAGCACAGATTTGAACTGCATGGATTCACTTACATGCTGATTTTTTTCCAACAAATACAGTATGGTAATATAAATGTATTTTCTTTTCCTTATGATTTTCTTAACACTTTCTCTAGTTCACTTTATTGTAAGAATACAATACATAATACATATAACATACAAAATATATGTGTCCACATGTGTGTACACTATTACAAAATAGTGTAATCAACTGTTTATGTTATCTGTAAGGTTTTTTGGTCAACAGTAGACTTAATAGTTAGGTTTGGGGGGAGTCAAAAGTCATACGCTGATTTTCAACTGCATGAGGGGTCAGCACCCCTAATTCCCATGTTATCCAAGGGTCAACTGTACTTTAGGCTTTAAAGTCTCTGTCGAACTACTCAACTCTGCTATGGCCAAAAAACCAGCCATAGACAATAGACAGTATATAATGAATGGTTGTGGCTGCATTCCAACAGAATTCTACTGACAAAAACAGGCAGCAGGTTGGATTTGGCCTATAAGCCATGGTTTGCCAACACCTATCTAGTGACTTTATGAGATAAAGCATTCCATTTATAAAAGACAGTGTTAGTTCTTCATTCCATTCAGCAGGTATTTACAGGGGATTACACTAAGCCAAGTGCTACACAGGTACAAAGAAGTTCCACAGTCCATACCCCTCTCTCTGAGCTCCTCTCCCATGTTTCTAATTGGATCCCGCCCCTCAGACAATACAGTCCAAAGGGCTTACAAGGCCCAGAGGCTCTGGTTCTTGTTTTCCTCTCTTGCTTTATCTCTTACCATAGCTCTTCTCTACTGTGCTTCAAATTCCTGAATTCTGTATTATCTCTACTGATTTG